TCCGCCAAAAATTCCAATAGAGGCCCTTGCATTTATCATTGACGGAGACGGGAATAGAGATGGGGAAGGCGTCCCGCCCCTGTGGGAACCGTTCTCATCCCTAACCACAAAACGGATTGTGAAAGGAGGATAAGTGGGTCCCCAGAAACAGAATTTCATCTGCCCACCTCACAATCTCATCCCCAACAAAGGCAAAGAAACGCAAAGTAAGCAAATAAACAAGAACAAGAAAGGAGAAAGATCAAAACCATGGTAGCAACAGCAGTAGCAGTAGCAACATCATCGTAGCTCTTGTTATCAAGCTCCCGCTCTCTTTCTCGTCTCGCTCCTCAATTACGCGTCTTCGACTCCAAAACGCTTCTTTCATGCGCCAGCAACACAGGCAGCATTGTTAAGAAGAAGCATGTAACGGGCGGCGTCGGATGGATGGCCGCTGGGACGGTGTCGGAGGCAGAACGAGGAAAATGGGTAGACTTGAGATTCAGACGCTGACGAGCTGGTTGTTGAAGCAGGAGTGATTGATGCACAGAGCTGACGATCGTGATTTCCAGCATTTCGATGGCGTGTAAGCAGATTGCTTTTCTTGTTCAAAAGAGCTAGCATTTCATACTTGACCGGAGTTCAGGGCGCCATTAATTAACGTCCAAGGGGAGGACCAGAAGAAGCTCGACGTGGTTTCAATTGAGATTCTGCTCTGCAACCATTCTCCTAAACCTTATTGGTTGAATTTGATATGAAGAGTTTGCATGCTATCATGCAAATTCTCTAGAACATTCTTAAAAACTAAAACAAAAATCCAAATTCCATTAATTTTGTTTAACTTCGAACTGACAATCAAGATTACATTTTGTTTTTTCTTTAAAATTTTCAGGTGTTTTCTAATTGCTTAAGATCAAGTGGAAGAACAGGAATTATAGCATCAGAGGAAGAGGATGTACCGGTGGCAGTGGAAGATAGTTATTCCGGAAATTATATTGTGGTATTTGACCCACTTGATGAATCGTTCAACATTGATGCTGCTGTCTCTACCGGATCCATGTTCGGAATATACAGCCCTAATGATGAATGCCCGGCAGATATTGGTGATGACGAACTGTATGTACTTCATTAATTTTTTGAAACAAGTGTTACTTGCATTCCAAGTAAACAACTTTCTGAATTGTTCATGGAACCACTGCAGCTTGATAAAACAGAACAAAGGTGTGTTGTGAGTGTGTGCCAACTGGGTAGCAACCTGCTAGCAACTGGATATTGCATGTACTCAAGCTCTGTGATCTTCGTGCCCACATTGGGAAAAGGAGTTTTTTCATTCACCTTGGATCCAATGTATGGGGAATTTGTGTTAACTCAGGAGAATATCCAGATACCTAAAGCTGGAAAAATCTATGCATTTAAAGAGGTGAACTACCAGCTGTAGGATGACAAGTTGAAGAAGTATATTGATGACCTTAAAGACCCTGGTCCAAGTGGAAAGCCTTACTCTGCTAGATACATTGGTAACTTGGTTGGGGATTTTCATCTGTTGTCTTATTATTTATTTTTCTTCTTAAGTAACTGATTAAACCATCCATGTCTTTTTATTTATTTTATTGTCCTCTTAAATGATTGATTAAACTGCTCATTTTTATTTTGCTTGGTTAACTATACCGTTTATTTCACCGTTTTTTATTATTGTTCACATGTTTTATTCACAGAAATTAACTTATTCCACTGCACCATTTTTCCTAATGGTATTTGGCTTGATTCAACTACAAAGCAAGTAGTGTACCCTTTTTTTTTTTTTATTGAAATAAAGAACACATTAAATTGAAATTGAAAAAAATAATAATAATAAAGTCAGATCACTATTTTCTACCTTGTGTAGTCCATATTCGATGAAGAAATTGAAAAGAAATTCCCAACACCACATTGTCAAGACAGCATCCAATAAGGAATTCGATATCCCAACCAGAGTTTTTTGCCTCTTTAACATGCTAGACTGTCGTGCCCTATCCCTATTGTCAACTAAAGTCACTGCATATAGAAGGTAAAGTTCTCTTAAATACATTGGTTTCAAAGATTTATGGTGAGCAACCGCTGTATGGGTAGTATGTGTCAAAGAATCGTCTTCATTGTAAAACCATTTAATTTGAAGCAGAACAATTTTGTTGTCGCAAAGAATTCGTGCTACCTTTTGCTGCAATTTAGAGGACACATGCATAAGTCTTAGACCTTGAAGTGGTTATGGAGGAGATCTTGCTCTATAATGGAAACAAGAAAAAGGCTGGAAGGGCAGAATAAGAGGGCAGCTTACCAGGGCTTAGAATTCTGATGCATTTCGTTATGGACTTCATAGATGTCACAGTTTCAGGTCCTGCAACCATGAGGATAAAGTAAATAAACAAGCATACATACGTATTGGATGGATTTTTATTTTTTAATTTTTGTCTAAAAGCATAACTTCATTACCTTGTTCATTTCTATCTTTCTCTAAAAACCCTGATTCATGAGATGACCTGTGCATTATTAATGAAATATCAGATATCATTACGGATTCATAAAGCAAGGAAAAAGTTGAAAAATTATTAGGTAACCAAATACGTGACATGACTCGAAGCAAACAATACCTTGACAAAGTGTCCCCAGATGCACAGGGTGTTGGTTGGCAAGGATAGCTAATTCCTTCACAGCCAAGATCAAGATCAACTAGAAGTTCAGAGAAGAAATTTTCTCCAAAAGCATCCATGGGAAGATCCATGTCAAAGTAATCTGCTTCTGCCTGCTTTTCAGACGCGGATGTGGTGATATCATCAGCTACTGACTGATCCAAGTTCACAGCCACATCAGAATCGCCAAAATCTAGCCTGCCTTTCACATGATCCCTCTTACCCAGCCTCTTCAAATTTGTCTTGGCTGGTAAGCAAGAAGAAACGCAATTGTTTCTTTCAATAGGGTAGCATGTCATCTTTTTCAATGGAGTCAATCTAGCTCTCTGTGTTGAGATTATAGTATCGTTGGTAGGAGTGATCTCTTCAGGAGTTTTACTGCAATTAACTGGGGAAGGAATACCAATTGGAGTAGCTGATTTATCAGTCTGAGAGGATTGTGGGGGTGTGTTTGGACCAGATGAGCTGCATGGAGGAGATAGCTGCGTCTGATTGAACAAACACTTAGCAACACTAGACCCTTGCACAGTCAATTCATTGGCTACACAGTACTGGGGTGATGATTGATCCACAGAGGATGGCCGAGCAGTCAATTGATTATTAATGGCATTATCAATTCCTGCCCCAAAAGAACAATGCAGTTAAAGGGATGGACTAACATACAAGTGATAAAAAGGATAATAATCTAAGTGCATAATTACAAAGGAAAGCTACCTTGGTCAGTCAACCTTGTGAACGTTGTCTTAGATCGAGTTTTCTTTGCTGCTGATGAGGGATCTATGACAACCTCTGAGCTCCTTTTCTTTCTAGCGGACACTTGACTCATTAGTGGGTAAGAGAAACTGCCTTGCTCTCGCATGGGGTTAGGGGTGCTAGACACAGACACAGGATGGCCTGAAGAACAGCAAACGAGATAAAACAAACCAGTTAATCCTCTTAAGAACTTTTCTTTATATCCACATGAAGTTTTCTTAAACACAGAACAATAAAATACTTATAATTCCAGATGATATGTTCAGAGTTCAACAACCGTAGAATTATTAGCATACTTTCACATTCGGTTCTCAACTTCTGACAGTAATCTATGGTAGCAGATTAGTTTAGACATTGGCATTATTTGATAAGTAGAGCACTTTGGACATCTACCAACATGAATCTAAAACCAAAATGCAACATGTAATTCATGCAAGTGGTGCAAAAAGCTATATTACAAAAAAACAGAACTGAGAATTATAAATTTTCTTTTCCCATTCCAATCATCAACAAATCCATTCATCATCTAGCAATCAGCCATTCACATTATAGTAGTTCTAGGCATGTTGTAAAAATTAGAACTGTTATTGACATAACACATAATAAATTAAAGTATTTCTCTCCATATTAAAGATCTCAAGTTTGAATCTGGTGACGGGTGAGGAGGGGTTTAGAATAAGAAGAGCTATCCCTATCATATGCCTTATCATCCAATGTACAAAAAATAAATAAATAAATAAAGCATTCCTCGTAATATACACCTGGCAGGGAACCCCCGCGAGAAGCTGATGGTGGAACAGCAACCACTGCTTTTGGTGCTGCAGGGGCATTGGGGATCATGGGCACTGATGCACCGGCACTAGCATTGTAACTGTTCATCACATTCTGCATTCCTTGCAATAGCGCATGTACCCTGCACATTTCCTCCTCCAAGCGCACCCTCTCCTGCTCCAAAATCACCTTCTGCTCCTTCAAACATATATACTCATCCAACATCGCCCCCAAACTCAACAAACTACTTGGTGCCTAAAAAAACCAACCCACATTTACATCCCCAAATCAAATTACCAAAAAAAAAAAAAAGAAACCAAAATCAAAAACCCACAAAAGATCTCATCCATACATACCTCCCTGACTGGGGATTTTGAAATGAGAGAAGATGCTTCGTTTCGGAACACAGAACGAGTCCCGGAGTAATTGTTGTCGAAGAGATACCGATCCACTATGAATGCTACCTGCATTGGGGTAACCTTCCCTTTGCCAAACTTCTCCGGCATCTTAGACCGGCTTTGCTTACCCATTAGAGGAAAACAGGAGATGGTAAAGAGAATTGAAATTCGAGAGAGAATTGATTAAGAAAAATTTGAGCTTTGGATTAGGAGATCTGAGTAAAAGCGGGGGGAGATGGGAGGGTGGGGGTCTAACGGAATGAAAACGCGGGGATTTTCGAATGGTTTAAGAAGAAAAAACGAGAGGGTTTTATTTTTAGCGGCTTTTTTTTTTTTTAAGTGGTTTTTCACTTTTCTGGATTCACATTAGCGCCTGTTTAGAGGCAATTTTAATAATAAAATTTTTATGAGGTAAATGATTAAAAATACTACAAGAAAGTTCAGAAGTTTTATAATGAAAATTTGTAAAATTATTAATTTTTTAATATGTAATAAAAAATTAATATAAAAAAATTTACTAAGAAAGTTGTTCAGTAAATGTTAAACAAAAAAATTAAAGAGAAATTTATTTATATATTGAGAATTGTGTTAAGAAAAATAATAATAAAATATTATTTTTATCTCTTTTTATTGTTATATTATTGTGTAAAAATATATAAATAATTTTATTAAAAAAAATTAAAAACTTTAAGAAAAGAAAGTGACTCTGGACTACTACTCGAGACCAATTTACAAAAAAGAAAAAAACCGGCCCATAAATGTAATGGTCTATAGTAGGGCCTGTTACAGTTCTCTTCCACCATGGCCCCTGCCCCCCAGTTTGGACTGAACCTAGCCCAGTGATCATAACGACCTTTTTTTTCTCTCCCTCTTTGAACAAAAAGTGATGTAAGGGAGGTGAGAAAACAAAGTTCGGCCAAAAAAAAGGTGAGAAAATAAAGAAAAAAATTAAGAGGGTTCTATTCATTTTAGGTGCAATACTCTTTTAACACCTAATGAATATTGTTTAGAATAATAATAGAGAACGAAAGTTTAGGATAAAAATTTAAGATCAATAATGTAACGTAAACTATTCATTAAATTAATTGATATATATAATATTATGAATTTTTTAAAAAATAATTATTAAATAATATAATATCTACTTTTTAATATTTTAAATAATATAACTTATATCACATTATTATTTTTAAGTTTTTGTTTTATTTATTATTATTCTATTATTTAGCATCCTCTCTAAAGACGGGAACAATTTAATTGTTTAAATGTCTGCTAAGGTCCAGTGATCATAACTACTTGTAACTGAGGTTTCGAGAACTTCAATTTTAAAAATCAGCAAATTTACTATTGTAATGCCCAATGGCGTCAGAAAAAGACCTGATAAGGCTCGGACCACATGTGCTACCACCATTTTTTTTTTCTTCCAACTTTTGGTTGAGCCTAGATGGTCGTCCTCAGATGCAAAGGTTTTCTTCTTCTTCTTCTTCTTCTTCTTTTTAAATGTTAAGGCTCTAAGGAAGTCCATGTGCTGGCTTCTTCAATAAATTAAAAGACATCTTTAAAACAGACAGAAAAAATCATGTTACTTTTTGCCATCTTTTTTCTTTTTTAGAAAAATTATATAGCTATCTTCTTCACCCTAACATTCTCCCTTTACCCTTCTCTCGGTTAGGTTCTTATTCATAACCAAGCAAGATCTCTACCTACCGAGCTACTATATCACTGACCCTCCAAGCATACATTTGGTTTTCCAGGGATCGATAGACAATGCCCAATTTTTTACCTGTTTGACATAGTTTTTAAGAATATTTTTTCTCTTGTAGAAGTTCAAGTTATACCAAATAATTTTTTATTAATTAACAAATTAATTAATTAATTCAATGATAATTTATTTTTAGTAAAAATAAAAGATAATGGGTTTCAATCATATAGTATGAAAGGCAAATGAGTTAAGTAATAATAAAAAAAAGTTGTTCTCATTATGTTATAGGGAAAAACCCTTCTTAAACTTTCAAATTTATCTCAAAATAGCATATAAGCCCCTTAACTAAAAATGAAACAAAGAAGCCTTCTAATTCCACTAATAATACAAATAAGCTCTTCTAACAAACGGACCAAACAGTATTTCATGTTTAACATCACCTTGAAAGCATGAACACTTATGAATGAGAAAGGCTTATTTGCAACATTGGTGGAGTTTGTGGGCTTATCTGTTTTATTTTTAATTTAGGGGCTTAAATACTATTTTGGGGCAAATTTGAGCGTTTAAGAAGAGTTTTTGCCTATATTATAACTCAAGATTATAATTTAAAAATTAAATTTACTGATAAGTAAGAATTATCTTATAAGTTAAATTTTAAAATTCAAGTTTTAGAACCAATATCAGGTTAATATGAGAGTGTGTTTTTAAAATTACTCAAAGAGATATTAGTTTCAAAGTGTGCAAAAATAAATTGAGTAATACTTTAATAGTAAATAAATACATAAATAACTCAAGATCATTTAAAAAAATAAAAATAAAAACCGTTTCTTGTTAAGAACATTGAAAGCATTGCCATTGTTGGGTAAAAACCAAACAAAGACTTGAAATCAACGAAATCTTTTATTGCATTCAGTTATCGATTTTATTGTGAGAACAAGCTACATTAGTTAGACTGGCACCAAGAAACAGGGTGTCACATGAATCACAACACAAATCCTTTACTATCCAAGTGGTCCATGTTTTAATTTTCATGCACAAAGGCAATGTCACTTCTCATGGATCTTAGCTCTCTTCGTTCCAAAATGCTACTTCTTAATTTGTCTTGCATTTAAAAAACTTATTTAGAGGGGGGGGGGGGGGAACAAGAATACCATTAATAAATGAGTTAGAATTTATTTTTACACAATTTTTATGCAAATTATTTATACAAAATTTTGATAATTAATTCATCTCTCCACTTGATTGAGATTTATCATAATTTTTTATATTAAAAAATTTACTTTTAAAAAATAAAATAAATTTTAACTATTCATAATATATAAATAATTTATCAAAATTATATACAAGTAATAAATATA